CTACGCGGTGTTCCTACTGTCTAATAGGTGAGGATAGGTCCTAATCCCACCCGCGGATGCGTAGATGAGGTCAGTTTCCATGCTCCGCTCCTCTCCGAGACAGAATTTCGGCAGCACCTCCCCGTTGTTCTCCCGATACACGTCCTGCAAGGGAGAGTGTGTATCCGGAGAACAACAGGGAGGTGTTGCCGAAACTCCTTCTCGGACCGGAGCGGACCATGGAAACTAACCCATCTACGCATCCATGGGCTGTCCAAAAAACGTGGACAATCCGAAACAGATGCGCTCACAGATACGCAAAGATCCGCATACCTACGACCGTATCTCTTTCGGACGGGAGACGCCTAACTGGGTTACGCGCGGGCTACGACAGACATGCGCAAAAAGAGGTTATTTATACCAAGGGTGTCGGTGAAGTAAGGCTAGCGGGGCAGTGGCGAATCGACGCAGTGGCGTGGCGATGCAGGGCAGGCAGAACCGCGACGTTGATGAAGACGATCGGGGTCCTCCGGGTCCCCTCCGACGTACTCTTCTCCTGCATAAAAAGACAATAGGTTATTTTTTGTTCAAAATTTCGGCAGCACCTCCCCTGCACGGGGAGGTTTCCAAAACCTGCAAAAAAATGACACGATGGTCGACATTCACAAAGGCACGAAGGCCGACAACCACAACGGCACGAAGGCCCTCATATCAAGTTACGGCACGAAGGCCCACACAACCACATACGACACGAAGGCCGACAACGAGAGTTTTACCTAGGGTTGCGGTGGAGTCGGGCGTCGCGGTGCGGGGGTTCACTTTCTTCTCCAGCGAGGTCGAGCGGCGTTGGAGTACTCCTCTCCCCCTCTTCCCTTTCTTCTCTCCTTTTCCCCTTCTTCTCCTTCTCTTCCCCTTCCTCCTTCTCTTCTTCTCCTTTTCTTCCCCTTCCTCCTTCTCCTCTTCTCCTTCTCTTCTTCCTCCAACTTCACCCTTTGCCTCCTCCCCTGCAACAACAGCCGGCGAGGGGGAGCCGCCGGAGGGCCGGCCGGGGCGGTCGACCTCCCCTTGCTCGACGGAGATGCGGAACGGAGGCAGGGCGCGACCTCGGCCGCCCATCGCAGCGTGGTGGGGGCTGTGGTGGGCGCCACTGGTGGGCCGCCGGGGCGAGGTGGGGGTGAGGAGGATGGGTGGTGTGTGTGCTGTGTGGCAGGCGCTGTGTGGCGGTGGCGGTGGTGGTGGTGGGCGGCTGGAGGCTGCTGGGGCTCGGGGCTGGAGTGTGTGGAGGGCTGTGTGAGGAAGGAATGGGCGCTGGGCGACCGGCTGGGGCTGGGCAGGCAGATTGTGATGGCTGTGAAGCACAGTGTGTGTGTGGTCGGTGGATGCCATGGGCCTTGTGAATGTGGCATGAATGGCGTGGGGAGGGAGAGGTCGACCGTTTTCAGAATTTCGATCGGGAATTTGGGTGCATGACCCGATTTAGGGTTCGGTGCTTACTGAGGCCCAGGATCCGGCCCTCGGCAAAGATTTTTTATTTTTTAAAATTCTTTGCCGGGCCCAGATCCATGGCTCATGACAAATATTTTATTTTTTTAAAAAATCTTTGCCGAGGGGCCTAGATCCTGACCCTCGGCAAAGATTTTTATTTTTAAAAAAAATTCTTTGCCGAGGGCCCAGATCCACGAGCCCTCGACAAAGAGCCCCTGACAATTTTTTTTTTTTTTAGCCTAGTTTTTTTGTGGTGCTACAATACATTGTTTTGAACTCAATTTTTAAATTTAGGCCAATTTTGATTTTGTTTTGTATATTTCCTTAATTTATTTAGATTCTTTGATTTTTTTTCGAATATGTCAAATTTGAGCTGTAGGTGCATGGAATATTGCAATGTAGTGTTTCAAAAATGTTATTCATGTTAGTTGGTGCATGTTGAGTCCCTATCCACGACCCGCATCAAATTTTCACGCATCTTGTTAGCGTAACATGACGACCAACTTTAGGAAAAGTATTTTAAAATTATATAAAATCCATACGAAGTCCGAAAATCACAAAACTTGGCGAGATGCCATGTTATCGCATGTGTAGGCTGTGGTAAAAAATTGAGAAGGCTTCGAGCGAGTTTCGGACTTCGTATGGATTTTATATAATTTTAAAATACTTTTCCTAAGTTGGTCGTCATGTTACGCGAACAAGATGCGTGAAAATTTGATGCGGGGTCGTGGATAGGGACTCAACATGCACCAATTAACATGAATAACATTTTTTGAAACACTACATTGCAATATTCCATGCACCTGCAGTTCAAATTTGACATATTCGAAAAAAATCAAAGAATCGAAATAAATTAAGGAAATATACAAAACAAAATCAAAATTGGCCTAAATTTTAAAATTAAGTTCAAAACAATGTATTGTAGCACCACAAAAAAACTGGGCTAAAAAAACCAAAAAAAAAATTGCTGAGGGCTCTTTGCCGAGGGCCTGCCCCGTGGCCCTCGGCAAAGAATTTTTTTAAAAAAAATAAAAAATCTTTGCCGAGGGCCGTAGATCTGGGCCCTCGGCAAATAATTTAAAAAAAAAATAAAAAATCTTTGCCGAGGGCCGTGGATCTGGGCCCTCGGCAAAGAATTTAAAAAAAAATCTTTGCCAAGGGCCTATCCTGCCCCTCGGCCAAGGGCTTCTTTGCCGAGGGCCTAGCCTCGGGCCCTCGGCAAAGGCGATTTATAAAAAAAAAAATTTGGCCAAAAAACTGGTTTTAAAAAAATCTTTGCCGAGGGCCTGGTCTAGGGCGCTCGGCAAAGACTTAAAAAAAATTTGCCAAATAACCTGGTTGCACAGGAAAAAAAAACCTTTGCCGAGGGCCTAACGGGTGGCCCTCGGCAAAGCTTGACGGGAAATGGCCGCCGTGACCCAACGGGCCTAATTTGCCGAGGACATCTTTGCCGAGGGCCTGTCTTTGCCGAGGGTCGTACCCTCGGCAAAGACCTCTTTGCCGAGGGCCGTTCTTTGCCGAGGGCTCTTGTGTCTGGCCCTCGGCAAAGAGCGTCTTTGCCGAGTGCCCGAGATTTGGCCCTCGGCAAATCCTCAGGCCCTCGGCAAAGCACGCGTTTCCAGTAGTGTATACTTTATTATAACATTTAAAATGTTGATGTCTAATGTTTCATATATTAATACATCAATATATCTCACAGCCACCATATGTCTCACCAAATTTAATAATAAATACATCATAATTACAAAATCATATATACATAATTAGAAAATCATGAAGTCATTATACCAAAATCTCATTAGAGAAGCATGTGGTTCAAGCTAGTCAAGATATCTCTGATCTAGCGACGTCCGAGCTGACAGACGTGCCCTTGAGTGAGGGGGCGGGGTGCTTGGCCTCCCTCGTCCCCTTTCCTTCGCCACCGGTTCAAATCATACAAAAACTAGACATGGTAAAAGAAACTACACCCGTGAAAACAAGCAAGTCAAGTGCTTTCACTCCAACTAGTCCCCACCCCCCACGCGTTCATATGCCTCTTCCTAGATCTCGTTGAACAAAGCAACAAAAGATAACTCAAGTCACTCCTCCTTGCATTTACAAATTACAATGTGTTTGGTTTTGCATCATGATACCATCCAAAATGATCCGCACTACTATACAAAAAGTTTTACAAGGCATTTCCAAAATGGCCTCCAAGGCGGGCGGACCGGTTGCCCGCCTCGGTTATTCGTGGCAGGGCTATCGGCCCAGCAACCGTCTCGGTTAATGCTTAACCAAGGCGGACAATATAACAGAACCGCCTCGGTTAATGCCTATTAACCGAGGCGGGCATCCTAAGACAACCGCCTCAGCAAATCATTAACTGAGGCGAGCATTCTAACTTAACTGCCTCGGTAAATCAGGCCCAGCCCACTACCATTACCAATATATAAATGAAATCAGAAACCTAACACTCACTCTCCCTCTCCTCTCTTTCCCGCAGGCCGCGCCCTTCTCTCTGCAGCATGCTCGGCACTACGATCGCGACTTCCCTCTCCTTCTGTAGCAACTTCCCTCCTTCCCTCACGACCTCCTCCATCTCTCGACGGTGCCCCTCTCCTCCACTGCGGCTCTCTCCCCCACTACTCCCCCACAGCGCCCCTCTTCCACACGGCGTGGCCTGCCTCTCCATCCCTTGGCGTGGCGGCGAGGACTCCCTCTCCCTTCGACGGCGCGACCTCCCTCTCTCTCCGGCGAGCGGAGCAACGACGGATCGGACGACTCCCTCTTCTCCCTCCCCTAGCTCCGTGGATCCGGCGGCGGCATGCACGGTGAGGCGGGATCCGGCGGTGGGGAGGCTAGATCCTGCGTCAACTCCTTCTCCCTCTCTGATGGGCGCGGATCAGGCGGTGGCTCGCGCGTGGAGGCTGGATCCGGCTTCCCCGGCAGCGGGGAGCGCGTGGAGGCTGGATCCGGCTTCCCCGACGGCGGATCGAGCGGCAGGGAGCGTGCAGGGGCAGCGGTGGGGAGGCCCAGATCCAGGCCTAGTTGGGTTGCGGCTTTTTTCTTTTTTTTTTGTTTTTTAATTTGATTTACCGAGACGGATATTTCAGCCACCTCGGTAAATACTTGATTTACTGTGACCTTTTGGCCGTGGCGGTTGTGATGCCCACCTTGGAAAATCTGTTTTACCCGCCTCGGTTAAGATTCCTGTAGTAGTGCCTGTCCTATTTTAGTGTCAATATATATTGAAGTTTTTTATATTCATAGCCATAAAGGAAAAATGTTACTTTAGGACAAGCTATATACAAATTTGGGTACTTACGAAAATTTGTCGTGGGCTTAGAACACGGGAACTCATCAAAAATAAATAAAAATAGAATTGGCAGCTTCCTAGTCGGACTGAGAGTCCTATCCCGAGGCATAAAAAAAAAGAGTCCTATCCCGACCCGAACGTAGCAGTACTAGTCTACTACGTGCTGCAGGTCTTCTTTTTAAGCATCATGTGTGCAGCGCACCAGACGTTCTTTGCCAACAGAGAGACATTAGGATTAGCCATGGGAAAACGGAGAAGCGAGCACCAGCCGCCGTCCCCGCAACCATGCCACGACGACGGCGGTGGCACCAAGCAGAAGAACGTGTGCTACTACTACGACCCGCGCATCTCCTACGTTGACTACGGCGAGACACACGAGATGGTGCCTCACCGTGTCTCCATGACGCTCGCCCTCATCAAGGCCTACGGCTTGCTCGATGACATGGACCGTCTCCGCGTGGCACCGGCCACCGAGGAAGACCTCGAGCTCGCCCACGATCCAGAGTTCATCAGATTCCTCCGCGACCTCACGCCAGCTGACTACAACGCCGACGCTAAGACGCAGAGAGAAGCAGCCGAGAAATACAAGCTCGGCGAGGTCTGGAACGAGCTCACCCACTGTGTCACTAACGACAACCCCGTCATCGAGAACCTCTGGGACTACTGCCAGCGCTACGCTGGCGGGTCGCTGGCGGCGGCGCGCGCCCTCGCCAGCGGCAGGTATAAGATCGCCATCAACTGGTCCGGCGGCATGCACCACGCGTGCAAGGGTAAGGCGGGCGGATTCTGCTACGTGAACGACATCGTGGTCGCCATCAAGGCCCTCCTTGACGGCGGACAATTCAATCGGGTGCTGTACCTGGACATCGACGCGCACCATGGCGACGGCGTCGAGACCGCGTTCATGGAAGACAGCCGGGTGCTGACGGTGTCGTTCCACCAGTTCGGTGGCGAGTTCTTCCCGCGCACTGGCGACGCCGTGGACGTCGGCGAGTTACCTGCTGGCGACGACGGCGTCTGCCCTACTCTGATCAACGTGCCGCTGCAGGCGGGAACGCGCGACGGGCGATACCACCAGCTGTTCGGGCCGATCGTGGACAGGGTGATGGCCGTGTTCGAGCCGGACGCCATCGTGATGCAGTGCGGCGCCGACTCGCTCGCCGGCGACCGGCTGGCGAGCCTGGGCCTGTCCGTGCGCGGCCACGCCAAGTGCGTCAGCATCGTCAAGGGCTACGGCTTGCCGCTGCTCCTCCTGGGCGGCGGCGGCTACACCATCAACCATGTCGCCTCCTGCTGGTGCTACGAGGTACGTACTAGTATTTGTTAACTATAGATTGTCACTACGGTTCAGATTAGACACTACTTAGTACTGACGCTCTATAAACTTGGATCAATGCAGACGGCGGTCGCCATTGGCAAGGAGATCCCGGACGACATACCGCAGCACGGGTACCAGAACTACTACAAGAGCCAGGGGTACAAGCTCCATTACCACAAGGAAGATAGCAGCAGCAGGAAGAACAGGGACATGAGGTCGAAGGACAAAATAACAATAGACAAAGTCATGAACCACCTTGATCGCCTTTCGTTGGAGCTCATGCCAAAGCCGAGGCCGAGCGAGCAGCTGGATGAGGAGCCGCCCCGCGCTCCACCGCCACACACCGACGACGGTGACGACGCACTCGTGGATCGCTCGCCATGGGATGAAGACGCCGTGGAGAGGCTGCATCAGCGCTGCGGCGAGAAGATGCTCCACGAGTTCTTCACCGTACTGGGGAGGAAACATCCCAAGCGAATTTGAGCTGAAATAATGCGCTGAGCGACGGCTTTGCTTCATCTGTTACTCCAGTCTTCAGTATTCATCCTGTTCATTCGCTGTTGACTGCGTATCCGATCGCTGCTATATATGTACGTCGTGAATTCGTGTGTGGCATTTCCAAAATCCGCAGCATTGTGTGAAATAAAACACGGTAATGCTCGGTCACGGGCGTCCGTCCGTCTAGACGCAGCTCCCAGGCCTGCGCAGCGGACCGGCCCTCAATCTCTCTCAAAAAAAGAATTCCCCACTCCACGTCGCAACGCACATCGTCTCAAGCCGAAAAGGCTATCCCAAGTCCTAAGCAACGACTCTGCCGCCGCCACGTGACTTGCAACTCGTGCCGGCCGAAATAATCTCCGCCAACTGCTGCTACATCTATCTTCTCCGTTCGGATCCGGCGACCGGTATCCCTCCTCCACAAGCAGCAGGCAGTAACGACTCCCGCCGCCGCTGCCGCCGCAAAAACATGCTGCATCTCGCTCTAGCTAGGCTGATTCCACCCCGCCGCGCCCCCATCCCTCGTGAGCGGACGACGCTGGATGCCTGCGGCCAAGCGAGCAACGGCACTTGAGTAGCAGCAGTGGGGCCACGCCAACGGGCACTAGCCTAGGCCGCGAGCAGGCACCGGAGAATCGCATGAGGAGTGACGGGCCATGAGGACGGGCGCGAGCGCGCGGAGTGATGTCCTTGCTGGCTACCGTAATTCCTCACTAGGTAGGCTGTGGCCGTTGGCGATGCCGTGTTTCAAGTGTTTCAGGCGTTTCACATGTTTCAAGTGTTTCGTCGACCTGGCTGTTGTAAAAGCAGATCTGGGATGTTGCATATGTTGCAATGACAATATATGCATATTGCAAACCTATGTTTCAAGTGTTTTAAATGTATATTGTTGGAAAACTGTAGTTTCTAGCAATTGATACACGGAAGACCTTTGCCAGCCGGGTGCCCCGGGCGAAGGAATGAGTAGAGGTAAGTAGGCCCAGGCTTGGTTAGGGTTTCATAAATGTACTCGCCAACCAGCCTCATTACACAAGGCACCCTCCCCCTTTTTATAGGGTACCATTTGCCAATTTCGTACATCACAATCTTGCCCTCTAACTGCTAAGGCATATTCTCGAGATATCTCTACACTAGTTCAAGCCCTCAGGGTCATCTTAGACTTTGTCTTCTTGCACCGCCTGTGTTCCTCGGACCTCGACTTCAGGCCCACCAAAGGCCCATTTCCAGTTTTGGGCCGTATTGTTCCCTCCTTCATCCTAATGGTCAGTCTTCGCTCAGGGCGCAGGTGCCTCCACCCTTTGCTCCCGTGCCTCCGCCCTCGATCTCCAGCTTCTTCCTGGCGAGTCCTTAGGCTGGCCTCTGCCCTAACCGATGGTTGCAGGCGGAGGCCTCCCTATGCCCGGCGAAGGCTCTCCAGGCCGCCTTCCAAGTCCCCCGCATGGACCTTCGCCTGCTTCTCCCAGGTCTTCGCGCTGTCTTGGGCTTCATCCAAAGGCTCTCACCGGGTGCTCCTGCGAAACATCCAAAGACAACCCGATGTCGTTAACCACTATTAACCTTAGCCTCCGCGATTCGGTGTATTGGTGTCCCAACATATATTTCAAGTGCTTCATCTGGATGTTTTAAAAGTAGATCTCGGGGAGCACATGTTGCAATAGCGTGGTGATGTTGCATGGGTCACCGCATGTTTCAAGCATATGTTTTGAGTATTTCAGATGTTTCGAACTTATGTCAAGTGTTTCCATCTGAATGTTGCAAAAGTATAACTGGATGTTGCATATGTTGCTATGACTATACATGCTGTTTCAAGTGTTTCATCTGTTTCAAGCGTATGTTGTAAGCGTTTTTATTTTGATGTTTCAAAAGTAGATCTCAGGGGAGCACATGTTGCAATGGCGTGGTGCTGTTGTTGCTGCGTAGGTCACCGTATGTTTCAAAAGTAGGCTGCTGCATGGGTTACCATGTCGCCGTGGGTCACCACGCGCGCCGCCTGCTAGTGCTGCTATGTGCATGCGAGCACGTGAAACGGAGCGGGCTCATGTAGTCCCTGCGCATGCGTTGGCGTGGGGTGAGTGAGCCGTTCACTACACCACAACACCAAGATTAGCGATGGATGGTCTGACGCTAAAAGCGGCTACAGCGACAGACAATCTGATGCTAAAAAGTTATAGCGTCAGACTTCTGCAGATGCTGTAAGTCCTGTCGCTAAAAATCTTTAGCGTCAGACAGTACTTTTAGCGACAGACAGTCTGCTGCCCAGAATATTTATAGCGACAGATAGTCCATTGCTACTTTTTAGCGACGGACTGTGCGATGGTACATATGGTTTTAGCGACAAACAGTCCAACAAGACAATTTTAAATGGTTAAAAAAATAAAAATTAATCCATCAACAATTGTCCATAATAATACAAATGTCACTACACAAGAACAAACATACACTAGTGAATGGCGCACGCCATCGCGCGCCTACACATATATATGTATATTACACATGCTGATGTTTCCAAAGAGCTTATGCATATTTATATTACACATGGTACTGATGGTACTACTTGTTTTACTTGTAGCTAAAGTAATACAGTTTAGAGTACATGGCCTATATAATACACAAATAAGAGGCCTAACAGGAGGTTCATTGCTACATGGTACAGTAGAATTCTTGATCAGGATCACGCTGGGCTTTCTACAGGCAAACAGAGTCCACATGGTCTGGGATGACCATTCATGCTAAATCTATGGAGCATAGTGCTATGTACGTCGCAAAATGATGCAGCAGACACTTTGTTCAGCGGGAGTACCTGATTGGAGTGGCAATGATTGGAGAGGCAAAAGTTGGAGTTATTTTGGAAATAGATCTATAACGTGAATGGGAGGTTAAATTTTGACATAAATCTGTGTCTGTATTATATATCAGTTGTCAGTTGTCAGAATCTACAATGTTTTTCTGAGCGGTGTGTTCGGGATAATATGAGATAAGAGCAATCACTATTGAAAATAGGACTTTGAGGGCACATGGGAAAATATTTATGTGATAACAAGTATAGTCAGAGTGTATTTATAATGGTATACGTATGTGCTGACCTGTTGCAAAAGTAGATATGTAGTTACTGAGCTTTGCAATTGGCGGTCTTTGTTTCAGGTTTGGAACTCCCAAGTCTTGGCCTGCATTGTTTAGAACATATATCAGGATGAGGACATAGACAACCTGGAAATCTATGTATAGCGATGTCTGTGTGCTTACTTTTTCGCTTGGTTCTGTAATGGTGGGTCTGCATTCTCAGTTGGACCATCACTGGGAACCAGGTTTGTGTTAGATGCTTCAGCTGGTGTTTTGGTCTGCACCTGACATAGCAAATTTAAACATGTACATTAGTTTAGGACTTGAAATGCATATATGGAAATAACACAGAATTATCTGATATATTGCGGGAGCACCAAATTTGTAGATACTATGAGAACGAAAATAAAAAAGGGAAAATTTACACCGCAGCGGCTACTAACCTCTTCATCTGTTGCTGCACTGTGGAAGAGGGACCTTTGGACAGATTGCTTCTCTGGGAAGATGCTATAAATTCAAAAGTGTATAAATATGTTATGAAGGCCTACATAAAAGCATGGAGGACATTTAGATTTGATCAGAGGTTGACCTACTCAGCGACAGTGTCCTTTTGGGGTGTTTGTTCGAGATTAATACTCGGAGGTGGTGTCTACGATAGCACGATGAAGATGTATGTTAGTATAGTGAAATGCAAATAAATCTAAATGATACAAATAAGGTGGGCGCACCGAAATGTTAAGAGCACTTGTGCTGACAACGGTTAATACTTCCTGGGTATCTGCAGTGGGGTGTTGCACAGGGAAACTACCGGGTTCATAATACTGATGTGTTCTGTTTTTTTTTTGGTAAAATACAGGAACACACCGATGTCACGTTTGTTAGATGTGGAAGGATAACTACATTTAGTCACGAACATAAGAACATTAGCTAGCTGCCATGGTTACCTACGTGGTAGGTGCCTCTTCTAATGTTGTGTCAGCAGGTTGTAAACACGGTACAGATCGCTGCCAACAAATGGAGAAGTGTGTGAATCAAACGGCAAATAAAGAGGAGGTATTAAATGAGCATATTTTTCATGCATCCAGATTAGAATCACAACTAATGAATCATAAGAATAAGATGGCATAAGTGAACCATAGTGAAATCCTCAAATTGGTCACATGCTCTACTAGAAATATTTTGCAGCCGAGAGCCTTGTACGTGTAACCCAAAGGAACCAAGCCAATTACAGGAGCAGACATGCAAATGAATGCAAACAATATTTCTGTGGTACATCAGAGCACAGTTGAAATTTATCTGATGGACTCAATTTTACAGCGCAGCTAGAAGTGGCACTTTGCCTGACATAGCACCGATCTCACAGCAATGTGAAAACCCAGGGAAATATTTCCCTTTATGTGTACATGATATCAATATGGGCAAGATTTTAATCGAGTTTTAAAATATTCGAATCTGTGTAGAGACAGTAGCGTGTCCTTCAAACCTTGGTGTTACTTTACGCAGGCTTTTTATGCAAGTACATATGCATTTTTAAGAAAGTATGTTAGCCTTTTTTTTCAGAGCTCCTGCAAAAAAAAATCATGCATAGTGCTAACCTTCTATGCAGTACCAATACATATTACCTATTTGTATCATAGGATCTCTAGCAGTATTACATGATGTTTAAACATAAACCTCAAGGAGCTAGAGGTCCTAAGGTGAATGATTGTTCACGACAACTCGCATGGATGCTGAGTGCTAACCTGATGTGCACGGATTCATTGAGGTGAGGAAGAAGAGAAAATAGAAATCGATCAGCACAAGCAGACCATGATCCAGCCATCAAACTTCAATGTAATGCAAAGAATAACAAGATTGTTGTAACCTTATATCTGCAGACCTGTAAACAGAGGAAATAGAGCTGTCCCTTGAAGCAGACAATGGAT